TAACGCAGGGTAATAATACCTTCTGGCTGTTGCTCATGGCTATGAATATGCAATAATGGGAAATCTGAAAATGACTGTGAGAATCTTTTGCGAGAAGCGGTTTGTTCAACTTCTAGATTGTTTCAGGCACTTTCTTTAATCATCCTTTGCACGTTGCTACAGTTCCCATCTGTTGCACCTGCACTGGCTCCTGAAGGATGGGAAAATGGCATTCCCTTATCCCTCAAGGCAGGAATCCCAGTTATCTATTCTGGAAAGATCCAAAAGTGTGGCAAATTAGGTGAAGCGGAAGCCTAAAGGGGATAACTGAAATTCTCTCTTTTGACACTCTGCAAGCTACCTTTTGCTGCAACACGTGAGATATATTTGTGCAGAGCAAGTTTTCCGAAAGAGCAAGCCTGAAATCGTCACTCTAATTAAAGCTCGGTCATGTGGACCTCCCCTCAATTCTGTATCTACCTGATGATCTCAGCTGAAACTGTTAGAAGAATTTCGGGGTTCAGAGTGTTTGATATATCTTTAAAGACTTTATACAAATGGGCACACAGAATCTGGGGATGTAATTTTAAAATTCTTTTCTGTTAGCGTTTTCTGGTTAGGATTATAGCAGACATTTTTCAATAACGTATCTTCGTAAGAATTTTTCCTAATTAGCGATTTAAGCAATGAATCAAAAGTGCTGTGTTATGTTGGCTTCATTTACACAACCTAAAATACGCATTTAAGACAGCCATTTACTGGGGATTAAATGAAGTTATCTAGCAATATTCTTGCATTCAGACAGTGATCGAATCACTTTCGAGTTTATTGGGTTACACATCCTTTAATTTCTGAGTGCAATTCTCCCGTTTCATACTTTCCTTCCACACTTGCAGTACCGAATATAACATTTATAGGTAAAACTGTGTCAGGGAATGTACTTCGGTCTCAAATCTTTGCAGGTGATTATTGGCCTCCTTAAATTTGGGACTTCTGTGGAATGTAGGTACCCATCTTCTAGACAGCAAACGCGCGCTCCCTAGAAGCAACCCCTCCTGAACGTGCCTGGGCATCTCTGTAACCAGCTGAAACGTTTTCTGTGTGTCTGAGGGTAGGTGCCCGTGCATCTCGGGTTCCTTGGACTGATGAGGTTGACAAAGTATCTGTCACCTATCTTAAGTTTCTACATGGTCCAGGGCTTAGAAGTCTTTCTACCTAATTTTGCATTTGTATTGCAGCAGCTTAATTAAAGTTGCGCAGGGGGCGTAATTTGGCATTGCTTAATTTTTAAGTACTCACTTTTGCAGCCTGAATATTCAGTTGACGGTTTTGTAATGGTACGTTTTTTTTTTTTTTTTTTTTTGTCCTGCAGTGTAGGTACATGCATTGTAATCCAAGGTATTCAGTTTTTAATACCTCACCTTCATAGGAGGTTTGTTTTGCTTTTTTATAGATGTTATGTTTCTGTACTCAAAATTAAGCTGCACAATACAGTTTTCTACTGTATTAAACTGACTAGATAAGTAATAACACAGGTTGCTTTATGATCATTATTTTTTAAAATGTTTTGCAGTTTTATGTATTGCTTTTGCTTCAAAGATAGAGAAATAATTGATGGGCGGGTATCACATCATAGCACAACTTATTTTTAGTCTGTGAAGACTTTTAGGCATAAAAATTAGTTTCCAATTTTGAGATGCGTGTGATTGGCTTATGTCTAAAGCTGTGGGTTCTTAACAAAGTCATCATTGCATCATAACAACTGCAGATTTTCTGAGCAGTCATCATAGTCTTGTAACTTTGATACAGTTTTAAAAAAAAAAAAAAAACATCAGTATATTTTGGATTATAACTGTTCTTCCTTATTAACTTGAATATGATATGATGGTGAGGGCTAGTGCATAGGGACATCTGATTTTAGGCTTCTTCGCAACATCCTTGCCGTTGCTCTTGCTGCGGACTGCAGAGCCTTTGACAATTCAGTTAGCAGGCCTCTCTTGGACAGGAGCTATTTGTTAATTCAAATTTTGAAATATTTTAAGGTTTTTTTTTTTCTCCTAGCATGTAGCCACACAATGTTTAGAAAGATGAGAGTCATGCTGGGTTCTTTCTAATCATTGCTGTACTGCTAATGACCCTGTGAACGTGACTC